CTCAATCGAAAGAACAGTATTGCTAATCTGCGTGGGAGCGCGTGGTCTACCCGCCATATCGCTTTCATCGTCTGTAATGTTTTGAAATTGTCAACGGTCGCTTTTATCGTCTGCTAGTATCGTATGCAGAAAACGCTCGACATTGTCACCGGTCGCTTTTATCGTCTGCTACTATCGTCTGCAATGTTGCGTCTAGTGACATTGTAAGGTACTCCTAGTTGTGCCGCAATTTGTCCCTCGGCGGAAACTCCGACAAGTCCGTATTTTTAATTGGACTGCGCCCCAAACGGATATTTCAGGCCGCAATACTGCGGAGGTACAAGTTCGGAGGAGAGCCCATGTGGGTTCCGTAAACCCATTGTGGGGAGAACAAGAAAAGACCCTCTGCCTCCCCAACAACCATGGCGTAAGAGTAGACTATTTGGGGACTTTCTTCGAGTGCCTCTGCCTAAGAGGCAAGGAGCCGACAATCTGCATACAATTAAGTTGAGTTGAGTTGAGTCAAGATATGACATCACAGCATTAGGGGCGTTCCCATACGCGCTCCACCCCTATCCCAAGCAGCCAGCTCAGATTTCCAATACTTATGGTGCCAGTCGTAGTCTGGTTGTATGTCCGTCTTGCCTTTCCTCTGAGCGTAGTGTGCTGGCCGAACCCTCTGGTCACACCTAGGTGCATCATTCTCTCCAGTCCATAATTATATAGTTTCTCTTCTGACTTCGTTACTCGTTCGCAAAGGGCTCTGACCACATATGCCAGGCTGTCCTGCGCTAAAGATTTTCGGCTATCCTCCGAATAACGGCCACAGAAACAGTCAGAAACAGCAGATTTTCTGGCATTGTTTGCAACTTCTGTGTCACAATTTTCAGATATAAGGGCGTCAATTATCGGTAAGTGGTCGATTTCAATTTCTCTTATTTTTCGTTCCTGATTATTTTCGAGTTCAAGTTTTTGAATGTTTACAACACATGACCTTGTGAGGCCATGTCAGGTTTTTTTTTTTTTTTGGCCGCCATAATATGTTGACGATTTTCCATTGGCTTTCGCTACGAAACTCCAGGCAATTCTCTTCATTCTCAATGCAGAACCATCTATGTAGATAATTAGATCATCTGGACTAGAACAGTCGTGAATCAACTGTTGGACTTCCACCTCAATAGTCCCCGCTGGCCACTCTCTGCACTCCCGGCCTAATGTGATCATGACCCTACATATGTCAGACTTTTCCTCTGGTAATCTGACCCGTGACCCACTCTTCTCCTCGCCCAATTTTCTTCAGCATGCATACTTGTCTTATTGTGTCGTCTGCTTGGGTCATCCATTATTTCCCCCCTTTCAGCTTCTGACGCTTAACAGCATCCAAAGCTACACACAGAGGGTGCTCTTTATCTGCAGCTACTATGAGGTATGACTTAGCCTGAAGCACCTTTAGCCTATCTGCATTAATCAACAATGCCAGGATGTATCGCATGCACACAATCGTCGTGTCTCTTGTACATCCCAGGATCACCCGCATAGCTTCATTCTGTATGCGCTCCAGTTTCACTAGCTGACTCTTAAAGACAGTGAGCAAACCCAATCCATAACCAATTACTGAGATGATTAAGTGCTGGTAAAGTGTGAACATAATTCTTTGCTCCATGTTCATTGCTGTCATAATCTTTAGTGCATTAAGACCTGTTTTGACACAGCACCCTTTATGTGATCCTTGAAAGACAAACTTCTGTCAAAGGTGATTCCCAGGTGCCGCAGTCTGTTGTCTCTCACGATGTCCCTGCCATTTATTTTGAGGCTTGAAACATCAGCTCTAACAATTATGTCGTCCAAAGAACACCACAGGACGGTTGCCTTTTCTAGGTTGATTACATCACTTATGAAAGATCCTTACAAAAAAGATCCTCACAAGAAAGATCCTTACGTCTCGGCCAACATAAAATTGAGTCAGATCTGTTGAACGGATTTGCACGCAACACTTAGGTTCTGGAACAAGACTAAAGTCCAGAGGTGGACAAAAAATCAGAACTTTTCGCTGGAGTTTACACCCTGTGTGCGCTAAAAAGAAGAAGGAGAAGATGATCGCAGATTGTGGAGAGGGCATGAACGGCCACACCAATTAGCAAGGTACCTGGGGATGATGGTGAACCTTCATTGTGGAGGCCAACTTGCACGGCACAAGAAATATCCTTACATCTCGGCCAACATTTCAGTGCGGTAAATAGAAGAAGAGAATAATAATAAGAAAAAGTTATGGAGACGGTGCCTGATTGATAAATATACCCAACACACGCCCATTTTAAATAATTGTTTCGGCGTTGGTCTTTTAATGTCAAACATTCATACTGATTAGAAGGTTTATCAAAAAGGCGAACACAATATCCCACCGTAACGAAATTTGCTTATAGTAAATCTGAACCAAGTCCCAACCACTGTCGGTGTTTGGCTGCAGATATGGGCCAAATTATCAATTTTTCTTTCTATAAATGCCAAGTTCTAATTGCCGACTATCCTGTTATGTGTAGGGAAACAAACGAAGACGGGCTGAATTCAGTGGATTAAGCATGAATTCAGAATGGATAACTTGAACCAATGAGACAGAACGTAAACATGGGGCAGTGATCTATCAACAAAGTTGACAGTACAGCATATGTGATCTATTTACGGTTGTTTTTAAAAGTATTACTTTAAATTTTTTAAAACACTTGTAATCTTGAGCCTGTGGTGTGTACATGTTAATATATGTTTTGCTTTGTCTTGCAGTAATGGAAAATATAATTTGGAACTCAACTGAAGTGTACTAGTAGTACTGAGATTCAGTGAGATTGAGGCAAAAGATGATCACTTGCTGAGATCCATGATGTATGATTGGATAGATGCAGCAGAACACAAGTTTAAGGCCTCCTTCTAATTATCAGATCTTCCAGAGGGGCAAAGAACAAGCTGAAAATGCCTGTATAATCAGCAAACCTGATATAACTGCAGACCTGATCCTGATGAGAACAATCAGTAAATGTACCTTTGAGTGGCTGCTGCTTCAGAGGACTGAGTACACTTGGGAATATCCAGTGTGCAGAAACAATGACTGAGATATCATAACATCAGGTTGTATCACAAAGCCATCCAGTTAAACCACTGAGTCACTTTGACATATCTTCATCTTTGCGTTCACCGGCTGTAAACTCAGGCAGAAAGGTCAGGATGTTCTTCCTTTTCTTTATTTTAGTCACCTTCCAGAACTTGATCTTTGCATGCACATCCATTGGACAAATCTGGCTTTTTTGTAAGCAGATCGTTGGTTCTTTGCCTCTCAAGCAGATTTGCTCCAATTTCAAAGGAAACATCCCTAATTAATCAGCATTTATGACATGCTTGGGGGAGGGGGAGGAGGGGGGAGGTGAGTGAGGGGGGGATCTATTCTTCCCCCCCCCCCCCACTATAATAGGGCTCCTGAACCCACATAGGGAACTTAGTCTTATAAAAACCATCAGGTTATTTTGGTGTTTTATGTGCCGTCTCCAAAATGGAGGGAGGTTACAGTGTACCTACTGCTGTCTTTGGAATTTACGTGATGAGGCCCAAATCTCTTCCTTGCAACTCTTGTATCACTGTCCACTTTCTTTCAGAGCATTTTTATTTTTAGTTTATTTACATTTTTTTTAAATAAACCATTTAGCAAAGAATTTGAACCCTAATACTGGACGTTCATGCAATTATTAAATCACTGGGCCGCAGGATTGTACCTCTGATTTCATAAGAATTCCTGAAAAAAATTCTTGAAAAATTACCATTTACACAAGCCACTAAGACATAAAAAAAAACCAGTCATCTATATTTTAATTGTTTTTTTTTAAATACATAAAGATGTATAAAAGGGGTAAGCAGCAAACAGAAACAGAGTGAAACATTAAATGGAATAGATTCCCTAGAGCCTGAATTTGTATGTTTTAATTGACTCAAAAAGTGACCCTGTGACCTCGATCACTGAGGATTACGGGAAAATTTGACATCAGTTTGGCTTGTAAAAAGCCATTATGGTCATAAGGAAACCCATGTAAACTCTGTATTTAGTTAACATATTGACATCTTGGCTTCCTGAACATTATGCAAATACACAAGTAACCAGCAGCATTTAGCTACCATTTTCGAGAACAGGTCACTGCAGAAATGGCCAAATATCAGCATTGACAGGGCTTTGTCACAACCGGAAGTGACTAGATTTAGCCCTATCGGGGCAAAAAGATTGAACTCTGTCTACCCAAAACAGTTCAGTTTAAAAGACCTTCTTCTTTATGTCCTCTTTTACTGCTTTGGGTGTCGAGAAATATTTTAAGGTCCTGCTTCGTGCTCTTCCGGCTGCTTCGACAATAGACACATGGTGGTGCTGTAGAGTTTCTCTGATGTTATGTTCCTATTTTGTTCTTGGTTTGCCTCTTGCTCTACACCCCTCTCCTCTTTTGGTAAATGCTTTGTATGGTATAGCATCTAAAGGCATTCTCTCCAAGTGGGCAAACCATTTGATTTGCTGCCTTTGTATGTAATTTAGAATTCGTCTTGTGCCGACTTTATCTTGTATGACCTCATTCCTGATTTTATCTCTTCTGGTGACTCCTACAGTCTTTCTCAGACACCTAATTTCCATGGTTATTAATTTTTAAAGCAACTGCTTTTTGAATATGAACAATATGACTGTGGTATAATATATCAACTGTCTCTAAGAGGAGAAAGTTGGACAGGTTTCTTTCCTTTGAACTAAAAAATAAAAATGTGATGTTTTATCTGGCACAGAGAGAGTTAAAACAGTCATTTTGAGTGATATGTTTGTTTTGAAGTTACTCAGAGATCTCATGGTTACTCCACAGAGTCATTCCACTGATACCAGCAAAATAATTGTTCAACTTGTAGAAGCTGTTTAAGAATCTCACCAAGTTTTCTGAAGCACATAGTTAAAAGAAGTCCAGACATCGTTTGACATTAATCCTCAGACATCAGCATCTAGTGCCAGAATGAGGTTTTCACTCCATATTTTCCGCTCTATGAAAAATTCTGTGTACATTATGCAAATGCTGGATAAGTATGCAAGCTTCAACCCATCACCACTGTCGCTGAAAAAATTAGCCGAATTTGGACGGTCAGGTAGAACACTCAGTTAGTATTGTGAATGTTTTAAGTGTTGTTCAATTCCTGTTTTATTTCTTTTTTATTATAGTTTCTTTATTTTCTTTGTACATTGTTAAAAATTCTTACAGTAGCTGTTAAAATGTCACAGTAATTGTTAAAAATATCACCATAATTTTTTGTGTGAAAATCTAACAGTAATTGTTTAAAATTGTACATAACAATAATTTTTAAAATCTTAATACTTTTTTTTAACATAACATAGCAGTTGTGAAATATAGAAGAGTATAATACTACAGTAACTGATAAAATATCACAGTGATTGAATATTTAAAAAAAACATTGCAGTAATTGTTAAAAATAGTGCAGAAATTGTTAACATAATAAAGTAATTGTTAAAAATAGTGCAGAAATTGTTAACATAATAAAGTAATTGTTAAAAATAGTGCAGAAATTGTTAACATAATAAAGTAATTGTTAAAAATAGTGCAGAAATTGTTAACATAATAAAGTAATTGTTAAAAATAGTGCAGTAATTGTTTAAAACTGTAGCAATAATTAAAAAAAGGTTTCAGTAACTAATTAAAAAAAAAAAAAAAAAAATAACTAGTCCTAAAAGCCTAAACAGCTGGCGGCAGATAACAATTTGTTCTTCTTCTTGTTCATCTTCTTGTTCATCTTCTTGTTCATCTTCTTCGTCTATGTTCTTCCTTAAAATGGCGGTTGGCCTGTTATTGGTTCAGCATCTTTTTTTTTCTCTGCTATAAATCTATGCATATTTCTGGTAGGTTGTGATATTTTGGCCTTTCTGCCCCGCACATTTGATTTAAGTATTTAAGTAAACAACCCCTTATTCGTTGCCTTCTATGGCATACATGTGGGGGGGGAGGCGGTGGGTCCGTAAGTTTTCCCCTCCAATATAAGACCCCTGGAATCCGCATGGGAAAAATAACCATTTAATCAACATTTATTTTATTAAAATGTCAGATGATAGAAAAGTGGAAAATTTTGGTCAAGATTCTGACTTCATAGTATAATTGGTTGACCCCATTCTTGCTCTGTTGCCATACCAGCAAAGATCTCACAAAATGCACGTCATTGTTCCTTTATGAAAAGTAAAATAAGCAGCAGTCCCGACAAAACTAGCAGTACACACACTTATTAAATGCATAATATACATTTTAGAGTAAAAATCTAAAAAAAATATAAGAAAATGTAGGTAAGAGAACAGATCAAAAAGGGTATTAAAAAAAAAGATATAGAAGTAAATGCAAAACCAGTTACAGTGAACAAACAGAGGATGAGTTGCCTTCATCAGCAAAACAACAACAAAAAAACAAAACAAAACACAAACAAATGTTCTGATTCCGAAATGACTAAATTAAAGTATTATATACAAGATTGAGACAAAGTATTAATAAACAACAGAATTATATAAAGTATGTGATCCTTACTTGGGCTGCTTTAAATTTTAGAAAATAAATAAACAAAAGCGATATTGCGCCTTATAGGCGAACAGTGACGCTCCAAGTGAAATTGAATTGATAGGCGTGGATGACTGGTGGAAAGGGTTACTAGTCATGGGTGAAGAAAGGAAACACTGCAGAGAGAGAGACAGAAATGTGAATGGATGTGTGGGTGATGGAAGAAAATGTACTAAGGGGGAGAAGTATAAATGGGAAGGTTTCTGGACATTTTAGAGTAGTGATCTCCAGCGTCTGCTCCAGTCCAGGAACAAGGAAAGGAGGGAGATTCAATTCATAGCTTATAGAATATTCTAAACCCACCAGAATAAATATTCAGCATTTTTTGTTTTCTGCTATAGATCTGTGCATAAATATTTTTGTTCCTTTTCTCTTCCAGTTCCAACTTTCCGCAAATTTTTATTTCCAGAATAAAAACATTGTTCTTCCCATTATTTCATCCTTAGATTGAAAAATTGTATCAAGCATTGTTCTTCCCATTATTTCATCCTTAGATTGAAAAATTGTATCAAGCATTGTTCTTCCCATTATTTCATCCTTAGATTGAAAAATTGTATCAAGCATTGTTCTTCCCATTATTTCATCCTTAGATTGAAAAATTGTATCAAGCATTGTTCTTCCCATTATTTCATCCTTAGATTGAAAAATTGTATCAAGCATTGTTCTTCCCATTATTTCATCCTTAGATTGAAAAATTGTATCAAGCATTGTTCTTCCCATTATTTCATCCTTAGATTTAAAAATTGTATCAAACATTGTTCTTCCCATTATTTCATCCTTAGATTGAAAAATTGTATCAAGCATTGTTCTTCCCATTATTTCATCCTTAGATTGAAAAATTGTATCAAGCATTGTTCTTCCCATTATTTCATCCTTAGATTGAAAAATTGTATCAAGCATTGTTCTTCCCATTATTTCATCCTTAGATTGAAAAATTGTACCTCTGTAGTAAAAGGATTTAAAAATTGTACCTCTGTAGTAAAAGGATTTAAAAATTGTATCTTTGTAGTAAAAGGATTTAAAAATTGTATCTCTGTAGTAAAAGGATTTAAAAATGGTATCTCTGTAGTAAAAGGATTAAAAAATTGTGTCTTTGTATTGAAAAGATTAAAAAATGGATTTAAAAAAGGATTAAAATTTTTTATCTCTGTAGGAAAAGGATTTAAAAATGGTATCTCTGTAGTAAAGTATTTCTATCGTTTTTGTTGTTGAAAGAGACTGGTTGAAATGTTCATTAGTTTTGTTTTATGCTTATTTTTGCCAGGCTCCTGAGTTGCTGTTTTATTTTCAGTCATTCAGTTGGTAGGGAGCCGCATGTGGATTCAAAGGTTGGCTCATGTCCTGAAAGAGAGAGCCAGACTTTTTTTTTTTTTAAATGACCTTGGCTGTCAGGTTAACCGGACCTTAACTGGTACCAGGTTAAGTCCTGTGAAATAAAGATGGTCATCATGATGTTGACCACCAGGTAGGGTCCTCAGAGTGAAGGGGGTTGGCCTCATATTGACCGCATCACCCACCGAATGCCAATTGTTTATAAAATATAGGTCTAGCCCTTTGGGCCCAGTATGCCTTAAGGCGGGGAAAAAGGGACCTTTATTATAATTATTCAGCTGGGAGAAAACTTTGACCAGTTGAGTTAAGGATTGACATCACAGCACTCAGGGCATTCCCATGTGTGCTCCGTCCTCATCTTCAGCAGCCAGCGCAGAGTTCCAAAACTGATGGTATCGGCCACAATCTGGTTGTATGTCCGTCTTGCCTTTCCTGTGAGTGTAGTGAACCGGCCATACCCTCTGGTTACACCCAGGTGCCTCATTCTCTCCAGACCATAATAATATTATTTCTCTACTGATTCTGTTGCTTGTTCCCAAAGGGCCTTGACCACATCTGCCTTGTCATGTACCAGTTCACCACCCAGTGGTGCAGATCCAGCCAGTCTGTCTGCCCACTACGCCAACATAGCCTGGAGAAAAGATCCAAATATGCTCACTACCCGTCACCTTCCCAGTGAAGCTTGCCACTCTGCTCGAAGCATCCTTGTCTTCGCTTTTCTCAGCATACTTTTCAGCGTCTGTTACAATTACGACATGTGTATGCATCTTGTTCTTTAGCTTTGACCAGAGATAAGACATTTTATGTGAACTAATTGCATTATTTTTTTCATTGGTGGCGATAGCTAATTGATTTCCTCTCATTGAAGGTTTCTGCTAAAAGTCAATTAGGTTGTCACATTAGAGATTTCATTTGATATGTACTTTATTTTGTATCGTTAGAGTTTACAGATAATGGCTAATTTTTATTGTCTATTTTGAGATTTCAGATGATAGGGAATTATTATTATCTTATTAGAGATTTAATTTGATATGTACTTTATTTTGTATCATTAAAGATTTCAGATAATGGATAATCTGTATTGTCTCTTTGAGATTTCAGATGATAGGTAATTATGATTAATTAGAGATTTCTTTTGATATGTACTTTATTTTGTATCGTTAGAGATTTCAGATAATGGATAATCTGTATTGTCATTTTTGGAGATTTCAGATAATAGGTAATTATTATTATCTCATTAGAGATTTCAGTTAATAGGTTATTTTTGTTGCCTCATTAGAGTTTTAATCAGTAGGTAATTATTGTTGTCTCATTAGAGTTTTATTAAATAGATAATTATTGTTGTTTCACTGGAAGATGTCACTTAATATCTAACTCCCGTCTCATTAGAAATTTCTTTAATTGGTATTAATTATGATATTAACTAGATAGCAGCTGCCACAGGGCACTTGCATGACTAGCAGAACATAAAGTAATTCATACATTGATAGTGACAGACTTAATGTGCATGCTTAAGAAGATCCAAACTGGCAAACTCTGACTAGAATGAGTTGAAAGTATCTAGAAGTCATGTCTCAAGAAGATATACCAAGATACACCAAGGTGAAAGGAAATGAAACAGCCCATGTCTGTAGTAGTTAATGGAGGAAGAAAGTATGGAAAGGGCAGACATAATGAATGCTGGAGTTTAGGGATGGGGAACTGCCTGTTGGAAGTGGGCATTAATCAAGGACAAGCATGCAGAAAACGGTTGCAGGGCAGAGGAAGAAGATATGCCTGTCAACTGCTACTGGGCATGGTGAGCATGGAGCCACTGAGAGGGCTGCTGCATCAGAGGACGGGGCACGTATGGGTCAAACTCATGTGTTAGGGGGACGATATAAACAGAGAGTAACAAGCAGTATTGGTTAGTGTATCCTTTACAGGACTTTGCAGAACCAACCCCAACAGCCCCTGGCTGTTGTGTGGTTTTTCTAGGCAAAATTACGTCCAGTAGTTTGCCATTGCGTTCTGGACGGTCGGCTTTCTTGATACCACTGTCAAAACCAACGCAAGGCGCATGGCCTGCAGCTGGGATCGAACCTGGCATTCCGACATTAGCATCGACTTAGCAGTGTATTAATAGATAATTACTGTTGCCTGTTTAGAGATTTCAGTTACTTTATAATTATTGTTGTCATTAGAGATATCATGTAATAGTCTATCACTGTTGCCTCCTTAGAGATTTGAAATAACAGATAACCACTATATCTTGTCAGAAATTTTATTTAATAGATAATCTCTGTTGCCCACTTATTAGAGATTTCATTGTTGATCTAATTTGATTTTCCTGAATGCCTAGGTTCAAATGAACAAAACAAAGAGTCGTTCAGGTTCCTACAGAAGGAGCTGCCTGTCAGGTTGGCCAACATTATGAAGGAGATCAGTCTTCTGCCAGAGAACCTGCTTAGGATGACCAGTGTCAAACTTGTCATGAGTTGGTGAGTTGTTACTTTTAATTGCAATGGTTATTTTGTTGTTGTTATCGGTAATGAAGATGTTGATGATGATGTTGTTGTTGATGATAATGTTGTTGGTATTAGTTTGACATTACAATAGTTTCATTAGCAATGGTTGTAGTTTGTTCATTTTTATATTTCTGAGATGAGGAGGATAGTGTATAACTATCTGAGGTGATGAGAATGATGATGTATGTCTGAGATTTTGAGAATGATGATGATGATGATGATGCTGCTGTATATTTGAGATCATAAGAAGAAGTTGTTAATAATGAAGATGTACGTCTGTGGTGATGATGATGTTGATGATGATGAGAATGTTGATGTATATCTAGGATGGGAAGGATTATGATGTATATCTGTGATGATGAGAATGATGCTGTATATCTAAAATAAAAATGATGTTGTATATCTGAAATAAGAATGATGTTGTATATCTGAAATAAGAATGATGTTGTATATCTGAAATAAGAATGATGTTGTATATCTGAAATTAGAATGATGTTGTATATCTGAGATGATGAAAATGATGATATATGAGATGATGATGATGATATATGTCTAAGATGCTGAGAAAAATAATATTTATGTGAGATATTGAGAATGACAATATATATCTGAGATAATGATGAAAATGATTATATATATATATATATATATATATATATATATATATATATATATATATATATATATATATAAAAAAAAAAAAGGTTGTTGCGTATCCTTTACAGGACGTTGCAGAACCAACCCTAACAGCCCCTGGCTGTTGTGTGGTTTCTCTAGGCAAATTACGTCCAGTAGTTTGCCATTGCTTTCTGGACGGTCAGCTTTCTTGATACCACTGTCGAAACCAACGCAAGGCGCATTGCCCGCAGCTGGGATCGAACCTGGCATCCCGGCATTACGAAGCGAAGTGTTCGCATCGACTTAGCCACAGAGCCGACGACATATATATATATATATATATATATATATATATATATATATATATATATATATATATATATATATATATATATATATATATATATATATATATATATATATATATATATATATATATATATATATATGAGATGATGAAAATGATGTTGATATGTGTATTTGAGATGATGATAATTTTCATGTATATCTGAGATGATGAGAATGGTTGTTCATATCTGAGATTATGAGAATGGTTGTTCATATCTGAGATGATGAGAATGGTTGTTCATATCTGAGATTATGAGAATGGTTGTTCATATCTGAGATTATGAGAATGGTTGTTCATATCTGAGATTATGAGAATGGTTGTTCATATCTGAGATTATGAGAATGGTTGTTCATATCTGAGATTATGAGAATGGTTGTTCATATCTGAGATTATGAGAATGGTTGTTCATATCTGATATTATGAGAATGTTTGTTCATATCTGAGATGATGAGAATGATGGTATATATCTGATTTAAAGTATGTTACAGCAAAGAAGACCGAGTCACCTACCTGTTACAAGCTGTAGAAGATGCCTTCCAAGAGAGTAAAAAAGTCCTGGCAGTGTGGGTATACTTCATACAAACTTTCGACAAAGTATGGAAAGATGACCCCATTGCAAAACTGAAGAGAAGTGGAATCCAAGGAAACATGCTAAGATGGATCCAATCCTTCATACACAACAGGAGAACTAGAGTCACTCTTGATGGCCCGCAGAGCAGAAAAGTGTTATTTCATCCAGGGGTACGACAGGGAGGAGTTATCTCTCCAACTCTTTTACTTGTTTATATCAATGAACTGGTGAAAGACCTCCCTACAGGAGTGAAGGCTGCCTTGGCACTCTGGTGTACTGATGAATACATCAAAGTGGTATATCTAAGAATGCAGCAAGCAACATGTTGGCTGTGGAATATCATACCATACAATGTTTAATATGCTGTAGAGTTCAAGAAAATCTGTTTTAAAATCCAATTCTTTAACCATACACCAACTTAATAGGACAGAGTATGCCAAGCCTTTGAATCAAAATGATTCCACTTGCGGTTTATTAAATAAATGGCCAAGGGACGTATGACATTTGTAGTTTGCGAAGGGTATAACTCCAGCGCAATGTGACTTTGAGTGATTGTCGGTTAATATGTCGAAGCCATGGTTGTGAAGACTGTAGTCAGAACGATACCTGTAAGTTTAACCTGTCCGCACGTCATCATTTGGGAGCGATTGCAAGTTTTCAGAAAAACACATGGATTCTGTGTTTTATATTATAGTTATCTGTGATAATGAGAACAGTGGTGTGTAATTCCCGTCCCCATGTGAGACGCAATTTTTTGTTATTTGAAGCCCCACCCTGGCTCTCGCCAGATGCCGTAACATAACCCAGTCTTTGAGTTGAACAGGGTTTCTGGGACCTGTCTTCGGGTGATCCTCATCCCAATGGTGGCACTTTGAGTCACCGGGTGTTTATCGCTCAGTGTGATGTCCTGATATGGTTGAACGTCAATCAGTCAATCAGTAGTGGTGTATATCTGAGATGAATGATGATGATGATGAGAATGATGATGATGATGAGAATGATGATGATAACTATGATGATGATGAGAACTATGATGATGATGAGAATGATGATGATGAGAATGATGATGATGATGTCCACAGGTACCAACAGAGCTTTCAGGAGCTGATGGAGTATGAGAGCAAGAACCCACCGGACCAGAAAGTGTTGGACAAGTGAGTCAGCTGAATTCTTTTATGCAGGTGCACTTATTATGAGGAAACTAGTGGGTTTTCTTTGTATGGTACAATCACAAATATTCAGCTTTGGGAGAGAACTAAACACATTCCAGTGAATCAGGAAGTCTTCTTCTTCTTTGTCGCGTTCACCAGCTGTATACTCTGGCGGAAAGTTCTCGTTGTTCATCCACTTCTGGACTGCAGTTCTGTTCCAGAACCTGAGGGTTGAGTGTGCATCCATTTGACAGATATGCATGCAGACTGTTGGTTCCTTGCCTCTCAGGCAGATGCACTCCGACTTCAAAGGATGCTCCCAATTAGTCGACTCTTACGACATGCTTTTGGGTAGGCAGTGAGTCTATTCTTGTTTTTCTCATAGTAGGGCCCTTGAACCCACACGGGGAAATCAGGAAGTAATTAAAAGACGGGACTCACATTGAGAAAACTTAGAGAGCAGTTTAACTAAAAGGGCTTTAATTAAATGAGAACCAATGCGGGTGTAGAAATAAAGGTAGGGAAAAAGCCAAAGAGAAGGGAACCAAAGAGAAAGTTAAAAAAAGCTAGCGAAGACATGGGGTGAGCTGCAAGCAATAGCAGAGGACAGAACAAATTGGCATGAGTTGGGTGAGGACCTATGCTCCATTCCGGGATAAAGTGCAGAAGAAGGAGAATGGTTTTTCTTTGAGATGACTTTATTGTTTTTATTATTCTCGTTAATTTTTTTTAAAAATCTTTTCCATTCTTTTGTTGGGGATTGGTGTTCAGTGGTTCTTAGGATATTGTTTATTATTCTGAAAATAAACTTACATAATATTTGAGAAATAGAAATATGGGTGACCAGAGAAATAAAGAGGATTACTAGACAGGCATTCAAAAGAGACACAGATGAATTGAGGGGAGTTGCTGCGGCGGAGTGGCTGGACGCTCGCCGCGGATCTGAAGGTCATAGGTTTGCTCCCTGGCCGAGCCTGACTTTAAAAAAAAAATGACCTTGGCTCCTAGGTCGAACCAACCTTGAGTGGGTACCGGATGCAGTCCCGGAAAGTAAAGGCAGCCGACGTGTTGCAAACCACATCACCCATCTTGTGCCAATTGGTCTATAAATAAAGGTCTAGCCCTATATGCCCTACACGCCTAAAAGTGTGGAAAAGGGTCCTTTACTTTATAAATGGATTGAGGAAACTAGGTTGGCCAAGAGAAACCCTAAGATGAACAGTGATGAGGGAGGCCAAAGGTGCTGGGCTGAACTGAACTCCATTTGTAATGTTGAAATGATTGCAGAGAATAGAACAGAATGGTCCTGGAAATTAACACGGTCAACAGATGCTCAGTGAAGTTAGATGTGTAGGCCAAAAGGTACAGATACGGCACGCTTGCTGTAAACACATCTCTCAGATGAACGAAAAGAAGTGAAGAATGAAACAGAATGAAAGAATAAACTGCGAGCCCTATTTGACATGTATAGCACAACCGTATGATGATATTGAATGAATGAACTGTCACCACATGCACATCATTATTATCATCACTGATATATGTTATCATTATCTTTATCTCAAGGATACATTATCATTGTCATAATCTCTGATATATGATAAGAATACCCTGGACAGATAGAAAGAGTAATGGTGATGTCTCGAATGAAACTGACTCACAAAGAGAACTAAGTGCACACATCAGAAAGAGCCCGTCTACATTCTTTGATCATGTCATGAAAAGGAGAAAACTGGAGTACATCGTGTAGGAAAGAGGAGAGAGAGACCGAGAGAACAGATGCTGGACAGTTTGACTTCATGGCATGGAAGATCATCTGTGTCAGAGTTAATTGAAAGTACACAAGACAGAAGGTTGTGGATAGACATGACTACCAGCGCCATATGGCATGGACTTTGAGAAGAAGAAGAATCTCTGACATTCCTCATCATTCTTCCCCGTGTGGGTTCCATGTGGGGAAGGGTGAGACAGGAAAGAATAGTCCCGTGCCACTTAACAAGCATGTCTGCAGCTAGTTAAGGGTTTGCTGAAATTGAGTTGAGTCAAGAATTGACATCACAGCACTCGGGGCATTCCGTTGTGTGCTCTGTCCGCATCTACAGCAGCCAGCACAGAGTTCCAATTGCTGAAATTGAATGCCATCATTATCAGCATCATCATCATTATCGTCAGCATCATCATCATCATCGTGTTGCTTAATGGCAAAAGTGGTTTATGATAATGCTGATCATTGCATCCCAGCCATAAATAACAGCACCATGTGCTACGCCTTTTGACTGTGAATGCAGAAGAAGATTTAGAAGAAGAGGAAGAATACATCTGTTAAGTAAAAGTATAATTGATTGTTGTCATGTTCTGATTGCTGACGTTATTTTCCCGACAGCTTCACACTAACTCTTGTTCACATCAGGAACAGACATGGCAATGTCGTGGAGACTATGGCAGAGGTCAGTCATTGGCCACACTGTTCACTCTGTTGACCGGATGACAGGATTTATGACCGGATGACAGGATTTATGACCGGATGACAGGATTTATGACCGGATGACAGGATTTATGACAGGATGACAGGATTTTTGACAGGATGACAGGATTTATGACTGGATGACAGGATTTATGACTGGATGACAGGATTTATGACTGGATGATAAGATTATGACCGAATGACAGGATTTATGACCGGATGACAGGATTTATGACCGGATGACAGGATTTGTGACCGGATGACAGGATTTGTGACCGGATGACAGGATTTTTGACCGGATTACAGGATTTATGACCTGATGTTTTAATTGTGTTTTTATTGTCTGATATATTTTAGCTTACAGCCGTAAAAATAAAAATAAATGGAGCAATGAAGGGCTTGGTGTGTGATTTATACTGGCACAGAAGCGGAACAGTTATGGTGTGTCCTTTTTGCTGTGAAGTTATGAACCTCAGTTAACAATAAAGGACCAAGGAGACTAACTTGTTTTAAGAATCTTATTAGAGGAATATTTATGCAGATATAAAACCAGAGAGCTTATTTTACGTCTGGCTTTCTGGCTTAGAGGCTAGTGAAATGTTTTCCTGATGCGGTCTCAACATTTACCAGGGTACAAGTCTTGCAATTGGTGGGTTAAAAAAACAAATCATTCTTGTGGCTTTCAGATACTGGTTCGAGAGTTGCACTGTGGAAGAGATTAGGGTCTCACATATTAGGCAGTGGGTACATTGTAACCAAGCTGTGGAGACAGGACAGTTATTGTTTAAAAAAACAAAAATCATAGGTCTATAGATACAGCTAATTAAAATGTTTTATTGGAAGTCTGTAATTAGAGATATATAAATAAAATGCTTTCTCTGAGGCTAACATGTACAGATATATAAATGAGGAGCTTTATTAGAGGTTTGTAAATACAGATATAAAGAAGAAAAATGCATGCGTTTTTTTTGCCTTTCAGGGTGTTATGGAGTTGAGAAACAGATATGGCATTGACTCCAACACGGAGAACAGAATCCAGTATTTCTTGGATCGGTTTTACATGTCTCGAATTAGTATCCGCATGCTGATTAATCAACACAGTAAGTGAGTGTGGGCAACACACTAAGTGTGTGTGGATGTGATCTTAGTTAGTTAGTTGGACACAGGTGAGGAGTATTGTCTGGTTTTTTTCGCTGGGATATGCCGGTGTGTTGGAAAATGAACAGACGGACAGACTGGCTGGCTCTGCACAACTTGGTGGAATACTGATGCATGATAAGGCAGATGTGGTTAGTGCCTTGTGGGAGAGCGTGAACAGTTTGGAGGAGCAGATGGATCACCATGGTCTGGGGAGATTGATGCAGGGGGGAGTGACGAGAGGTTCTGGCAGATGCATGAGGCTCAGAGAAAAGGCAAGACGGACGTTTAATCAGAATGCTACTGGCACCATTAGTATCGGAACTCTTCACTGGCTGCTGAAGATGGGGATGGAGCGCTTATGGGAATGCTCAGAGTGCTGTGATGTCGGTTCTTGAATCAAATCTAATCAATCATTGGGTTTTTGTCACTGCACTCTTGTCATGTCCGTAGGTGCTCAGATCCTCCCCTTAATATGAACCCCTGCGTCCAATGGCAAATAGTACCAGTTCTATATTGATTAACAAGTCCTCTGTTGTGCCTGGTGTGCGTCTCATTTTTTGCTATGCCTAACTTAACTCCCAAGTCTATCATTCTAGCGAGTGACATGGATTCATTGCCTCCAAAGTCCTCCACCCTTCCCATTTCTCAGAGGGCATTGATAATGTCAGCATGATCTGTAGGCTGACCATCTGTGGTGCTTCACAGGACAGGTTAGTTGCGTATCCTTTACAGAACGTTGCAGAACCAACCCCAACTGCCCCTGGCTGTTGTGTGGTTTTTCTAGGCAAATTTACATCCAGTAGTTGGCCATTGCTTTCTGGACGGTCAGCTTTCTTGATACCACTGTCGAAACCAACGTATGGTGCATGGCCCGCAGGTGGGATCGAACCCGGCATCCCGGCATTACGAAGCGTTCACATCGACTTAGCCACAGAGCCGACTACACAGGACATATCTCCTGTAAATCCCAAAATAATGTGCATGACCTTAATTTGCACCTTTTTTCAGTGGTTCAGTCTTTGTAGCACTGACAGTGAGGATGGCTAGAGTTTATTCAGTGTGATCTATTCTGTATAATGCTTGCCTTCAGAGTATTGTCTGCACGTTTTACCATTTTACATTAAGTGGGAACTAATGCACTTTTTCTGTGTGTCTGTGACAACTTTACCAATTTTCATCAAATGGAAAACAGTTGAATGTCGAATTAGGAATCAACATCACAGCGTATGGGACACTCCCATAAGCACTCCGTCCCCATCTTCAGCAGCAAGTGAAGAGTTTCGATTTCGATGGCACCAGTAACTGTCTGATTGTATATCCTTTTCACCTTTACCCTGACTGTTGAGCGCCGGCCAGATCCATTTGAAACTCCTGGCAGCGCCATTCTCACCAGACCCTAATGATTTATCTGTGCCTCCTCACTGTTCAATTGCTCCCACAGAGCCCTCACAACATCCAGCTTGTCATACACGTTCAATACTAAGCGGTGAAGAACCAGTCAGTCTATCTGCCTACTCATTTCCCAACACACTGGCATGACCTGGAGAAAATATCCAAAGGATGCTACGCAGAACCTCTGAAGTGATGCTTGCCACTCTGCACTGAGCATGCCTGTCTCCACCTTTCTCAACATACTCTGTGAGTCAGTTACAGTCACAGCATGTGTGCACAGCTGATTCTCAAACCAGCGAAAGGCAGCAGTGACTGCCTCCACCTCCACCTGGCCAGTCCCTGTACCCACGACTCAAAGTGATTAGAACTCTACACAAGTCTGAAACTTGCTCAGACACTTTGACCCACTCCTCTTCTTGCTTAATTAAATTTATCAAGCCTGTGCACATGTCCAAACATATCTTTAGCTTGCGCCATTCAGGATCTTCCTCTTTTCAGTCTGTAACCCTTAGCTCTACCCAAGGCTTCATACAGGAGGTGTTTCTTGTCTGCAGCTACTCTGAGATATGACTTTGCTTGCAGAACTTTGAGCCTATCAGCAATAGTAGGCAGTGCAAGTATATATTTCATAAATACTATCGGGCTATCTCTTGTACATCCCATAATTATACACACGGCTTCATTCTGAATGCTTTCAAGTCTCATCAGCTGACTCTTTGATATGGTAAGCATTCCAAGTCTATAATCTATCACCGACAGGATCACATGCTGGAACATTGTAAAGAGCATTCTTTGTTTTGTGTCCATTGCTAGAAAACAGTAATCAGCTTTAGTGTGTTATCTGACGGCTCTGTTCATTTACAGTAAGAGTTATGAGTTGGGTTAATAGTGTTAGTCCTTAGTTCTGTTGCTGCCAAATGGCCTTGACTACCTCTAGCTTGTCATGCATCAGTTTTTGCACCATGTGGTGCTGAACCAGCCAATCTGGCTGCCTGTTCATTTCCCAGCTTACCTGTCCACATGATCACCACAATCATGGATCAGGTCACTGCTTTCATCCCACCCTATCCATGTGGCCAAACCAACAAGATATTTATCTCTTTGTCTTTTTCTTGCTCTTTATTTCAAGTCTTGCCAGTTACCACCAAATTCTCAAGCCTGTTATCTCTTTTCTACTTCATTGCACTCACTGGCTATAAATTCAGTGGAAAACTCTAGGTATTTGTCCACCTCCAGACTTGAGTCCTATTCCAGAACCTGAGGGTTGCGTGCACATCCATTTTACACATCTGACTTATCTCTATGCAGACTGCTGGTTCCTTACCTCTCAGGCAGATGTACTCTGACTTCAAAAGAATTCCCAGTTAGTTGACTCTTACAACATGCTTGTTGGGGAGGCAGTGGGTCTGTTCTGGTCTCCCCCCCCCCTTCCCCACAATGAGGCCCCGGAGCCCACATTGGGATATGACTTCTCATAACATAAACAGAACATTCTGGATTGTTTGCTTAAAATCTCTCTAATCAGTGTATGGCCTTTATCTTCTTATGGAATTTCAAACACTAAACTACTTCAGGTCCAAACCAAGAAACTCTAGACAGTAGGATAACAAAGAGGAGATGGAAATGGCTTGGCCACATCATGAGAATGAATCCAGATATACCTGCCAAAACAGCTCTCCCTTGGACACCAGAGGGAAAGCGAATGAAGGGGCACCCAAAAACAACAGGGAGACGAACGATGGAACGTAAACTGAGTCTTGATTCTCTGACAATGAAAACTGAAAGCATGGCAAGTCCTCTCCGAAGCCTCTTGATGGCGTAAAGAGGACTCATGATGATGATGTGATCTTATGGAGAACTGCCAGGTTTGTATTTTCTACCATTCTGATTTGATTCTGATTTTGTATTATTAAAAATAGTCCTAGCAACAAAATGCTTTCTGTACTTGTGACTTTCTGACAGATGAAGCAGCTGTAGGAAGAAAAAGAAGAAGAAGAAACATGAGAAATTTTAAAGACTTGTTTATTTGTAACATAGTCAGATATGTATATTTCAGCTCTTCTGTTTGGAAAGAAAGAAAAGCACAACAACCCTCGCCATATAGGTTGTATAGATCCGAGCTGCAATGTGTCTAGTGTCGTGCAAGGTAAGTCATTCTGCGTTGTGGTCATTTTTGGTTGTGGTTCATTTATGGTAAGGATCATTTTGGTTTGTGGGAAATTTTTTGTTTATGGATCATTTTAAGTCATAATTCCTTTCAAGTTATATGTCATTTGAGGTTACAGGCATGTTGAGTCATAAGTCATGTCAGACTGTAGGGCATGTTGAGTCATAAGTCATGTCAGACTGTAGGGCATGTTGAGTCATAAGTCATGTCAGACTGTAGGGCATGTTTAGTCATAAGTCATGTCAGACTACGACATGTTGAGTCATAAGTCATGTCAGACTGTATGACATGTTGGGTCATAAGTCATATCAGACTGTACGGCATGTTGAGTCATAAGTCATGTCAGACTGTATGACATGTTGGGTCATAAGTCATATCAGACTGTACGGCCTGTTGAGTCATAAGTCATGTCAGAATGTATGGCATGTTGAATCATAGGTCATGTCAGACTACAGCATGTAAGGTCATAAGTCATGACAGATTGTAGGGCATGTTGAGTCATAAGTCATATCAGACTGAATGGCATGTTGAGTCATAAGTCATGTCAAACTGTATGTCATGTTGGGTCATAGGTCATGTTAGACTGTACGGCATGTTGGGTCATAGGTCATGTCAGGCTGTACGGCATATTGGGTCATAAGTCATGTCAGATAATCATGTTGAGTCATAAGTCATGTCATACTGTACAGCATGTTGGGTCATGGGTTATTTTGTGTAGTAGTTCATTTTAGTTTGTGGGTTATTTTGAATTTTGGGTCATTTTGCATTGTATGTGATCTTGGATTGTGGGTCCTTTGGAGTCCTGATTCATTTCAGGTTTTGAGGGTTTGGGTTTGCAGACAGTTTCATGTTGTGGGTAAGTTTATAAAGTGAGTCGTTTCAGGTTGTGGGTCGATTTTCTAAACCCCCCCCCCCCACCCTGCCCCGAATCCCTCAGATGCAGTTTATTTGTACATATAATCATACCTCGCCCACCTACACACCATAAGCTGATATATAGGTATAGCAGTGATCCAACCCTCTTTCCAGGCAATTCAAATAAACAATGCTGAAAGTAAAACTTTAAAAAAAAACTCAACAAGGCAACAGGGTAACCTTCAGTAACCTTCTATGTATATTTGCTGTCCCGCTAGCGACATTTGATAATGTCAGAATTTTGTGTGTGAGGGAAGAGTAGGTATTTCTTCTTATTTTCCATAAATGCACGTAAAAGTGCCAGGTTTATGCATGACGTGAAGCCAGAGAATCACCAGGCTGGCAGTGAAACGGGAAACAAATGGTCTGAAACAAGAACATCCTAGAGAATCCTTGATGTGAGAGGCTTTGGTACTGAACTTGATTTCATGCATCTATTAAAGACAATCCCAATGAGCACAAAAAGACATCTTATTCAAAGCATATTTATTCCAACTCTGTGCTACCAGTGCCAGACATGGTCACTCACAACAAACCATAAAAGAAAATTAGTAACCATGGAGATGAGATGTCTGAGAAGGGCTGTAGGAGTGACCATAAGAGATAAGATCAGGAATGAGATCATAAGAGAAAAAGTCAGCACAGAACCAATTCTAAATTACATACGAAGACAGCAGGTGAAATGGTTTGCCCACTTAGAGAGAATGCCTTGTGACACCATACCATACAAAGCATACACGGAAAGAGAAGAAGGATGTAGAGCACGAGGTAGACCAAGAACAAGATGGAAGGATAACATCAGAGAAACTCTACAACAGCTCGATGTGCCTATGGTCCAGGCGGCCAGAAGAGCTAGAGACAGAACCTTATATCTCCCTCGACACCCACAGCGGTAAAAGAGGAAGTGAAGAAGAAGAAGAAGAAAAAGAAGAAGAAGATTGAAAGTGATTGCACAAGATGAAATGGAGATATTAACTGTTAATTCTTTGTGACATTACATCAGCAAGAGGATGATGATGGAGGTGATTGTGTTATATAAAATAGCAAATATTTTAAATACTTATGCCATTTCCATAGATGCATATGACAGTGCCAGATTTTTGTGTGAACAGTACTATTTGGCAGCACCAGAGTTGACTATAATCTCAAAGAACTGTGCTTGTGAGTATCTGAGTTGTCAGTGAAGATTTTATGTTTGTTGACTCATCTAGACTAGCAGAAAGAGAGTGCTAAAATGTTACATAGAACCTGTTCTGCTGTATGGCAGCAAATCTTAGAATGTCAGTGAACAAATTAGG